AAAAAACAAAACAAAAAAGTGAAACTAATTATGATAATTGCTAAGATGGAATTTTCATCAAAATACACAAGAGGAGTCATAATAAACATCAGTTCTGGCATGACCGAAAGCATATTTTTCTGAATTTATCATGGCCAGGATGCTGTTTTAGTAATTATTTGTTTTATTCTGGAATGGTGGCACATAGATGAAGGCAGATTACACACCAGTGAAAAACATGTGGGTGAAGGAGAGAATGAAAAACAGTTGAGAACTGTAGGTATGAGGGATGATACAGCCTACATTAGAGGTATCAATGACATCAGAATATTTAAAAGCATTCAAACCAACACCTGGAACGCTTGTAAAATTAATTTTCCTACAAAGAAACTTGAGAAATTCAGGTAGTCATGTCTACTGCTCAAAAAAAAACATAGCACAGTCATTCACTTGACATGAATATGATAGTACTTAGGCCTAACAGATACATTCATTCACTAGACACCACAATTTCACACTTACTTTATATAAATACAGGCCTGAAATTGACTTATAATGAAAAGCTAGCATACAATAGATATGATAAAACTTCTTTTCCAAAGAGTAGATTATTTGAAGTGAAACACTTGCATCTAAGCAGAAGCTAATAACAAAAAAAATTCTGAAACATTTAAATCCATCACTTTTCAAGTTGCATTAAGATGGGGCAGATTAATTACATAAAAATAAGACTTAAAATATAAAACCCAAAAGAACTAAGGTTTCTGTGATGAATTAGAATGGTTGTGAGTAATGTGAGACTGAAGATAGGCCTTTCTAGAGAAGCACTTTCCACACATCATACACTGGAAAGGCTTTGTGTGAGCACTACTATGCTGAAGAGCACTGTCCTTGCGTAAACATTTGTAGGTGCAAAGTCCACAGAAGTATATCTTCATTGATGCTGTAGTTACTCCACACCACACAAAGTCCTGAACATGATACACAGTCTAAAAAAAAAAAGAGGCAGATGGAATTGGGGGAATGAAGATGAGTGTAATCTAGAGATGTAGAACATCAATCTATTACAGCTGGGTTGGATATAATACTCTCAATGGCAATGAACTAGATTACCTAGAATTTATTTACTAAAATTAACTGTGAATAATGGACAAGGGTTAAGACTGGGCTTCAGAGGAATTTTAGCATAGCCTGAGGTATGGTTTAGAACATGATCTATAAATGGAAAACTGTGATTAAAAGGAATTTCAGAGCCATAGATAGGATGACTCGGAGACTACATATGACAAGACACTTGTCCTTGGTATTCTCTCAATCTGTATTTATTATGCATAAACCACATACATGATGCTCCTTGACATTTTCTTGACATATATTTCTTTTGCATGACCACATGCATGTTAATTAATCAGGAAGGGGCATGGGATAGTAAGTAATGGAGATTTTATATGGATTAGAGGATGCTTCCCAGAGCAGCAGGGTTCCTGGAAGATTTCCTTGGGTGGACTTTCTCAGAATGGTTTCTCCCAGGAATGCATTTAACTTCACACTGAAGTGAAGGGCACTTACTTGATGACTTTTTCATAAATATGAAAAACTCCCCATAGAAAATCCCCCTCTAAACTAGATTTGGAGTTTTCACAATGATAATAAGCCATAGGCACAGATAGCAGCCATAGCAATGCAGAATGGCATTTGTGTGAAACTGTTCTGCAACTGGCTTTTTGGTGCCAAAAGCTAAATATTTTGCTTGCATAGAGTGGAGAAAGGGACAAAACTTTTTGAGGGCAAGTGATCAAAACTTTACCTTTGATGGACAAGTATATTACAAAAGCAAGGGGGATAGGTGAGTGGTTTATCACCTATACAGAAAGAGGCTTGATATCATGATAGTGTTCAGAATATGTCTTCCCTTAATTCTCTTAAGAGAAAAATCCACTTGAGCTTGAGGAAGTACAAGTTCATCTGTCATAATTGACTGGCATCATACATGTGATACAACAAAGACATATTAACATGTTGCATTTGCCACTGACCTGACTGCAGTATTCTCTACCTTTCATCCTTTTCATTTTGATAAGCATCTATATCTCTCAATGAGTTTCCCAACAACAAAATAGGAACTTCCTCTCTTCCTTCCACTGCACTTTTCAGGAATACATGCACAAATGAATAACTTAAATAAGAGGAAGCATCTGCCACTTTCCTTCTGCTCCTATTAACATTGGCATCAGGCAGTTGCTTTTGGTATGGTTGGCTTTTTGAATTAAATTGACAACTGAGTTGTGTAGAATCTGGAAAGGGAACAGATCTAGGATGGACCTCTTCCTTCACACTTTCTCAATATTACTTCCATTCCCTTTATGTGAGAACATTATTTCAAAACCACCCTCATTGCTTTTAGAACTCATATATATTTCTGGGTGTCTCTTTGATGACCATGCTTTAATCACAGCCACCAAGTTCACCTGCTTGGTGACCATCCATTAGAGCACATGTGCAGAGAGCACATGTTATTGCATCTTAAAGATTTTAGTTGGGGATTGATGAGTCCCACTATTCAAGTATTTTTCTTTTTTTTATTATCACAATCTGAGGTTATTTCAATTTAAAAAAAAAAAGAGACAGATGTATGAATGTGAAGAGTACCAAGTAATGCACCTAATAATACATTTTCCTGCACATATCCATGTCATGGCAGATAAATAAAAATAATGCAGACTACCACTGGGCAACACTCAACTCATATGATAAAGAGTGGAGCAGAACACGATCTCCAATTCAATAAGAGCAAAATAAAGCACTCCCAACTGGAGCCTGCTTCATGTAAGATATGTATTTTCTATTAATAAGACTCTCAGTTAGGAATGGAGTTTAGGAAACCTGCCAATATTGTATATACCTCAAATTCAAATTCTGTGTTTATATATCACACTTCTTATTCTAGCAATAAATATAATGCAGACATGCAACTAGCAATTCCACAGAAAATACTAACATGTACTTAAACCAAACTCACCTATAGTGACAATGGATGCTGGTAGAGCTCAAACCTTGTGTTTCATCACAGAAGTCACACAAAGCACAAGACTTCAAATACATTCCAAACACCAACATTGTAAATTGCTTGGTGGGTTCAACAGCTAAGTCATGACTTAGCTAAATGATACACAGGATGCCCTAGGTTTCAAGGACAGATTCCCACCAAAAAACTTCATTTCATGAAGCACTGCTTTCACTTCCACAGTATTCAGCACATGGAAGGCCAAAAGAGGTTTAGCTACTGCTATCATTTGCAATTTCATGTTTTATGAATTGATGAATAAAAAGTTCTCTTTTGAAGAGAGACATCACCACAATAGCAAATTATGCCTGAAATGCACACAATTAGGTGTGTTCATGCCCATACAGAAAGGATGTCATGGGAGTAGATCTTAATAATTCAGTCACCCAAGAGTCTAGCTTTTAGTTTAATTCAAATTATTCAGTGATTTTTGACAGATTCACATCAGTCTACTCAACAAGCAGTATCCCAATTCAGCGTGATATTGTAAACTAAAATTCTTATTTCCAAAACTGGTAGAAGACCTAATAATGGGTTGTTGATACAGTGGATCATGGTGTCAAGATTGGCCCAAACTTTGTCTGAAGCAATTCCAACTACTCTCTCACATTCCCATCTCCACCCTTTATCAACTGTACAGGGTGGCTCAAATGAAAGTAGATGTGCAACAAAAAATAGGATTTTAGAGAATTAGTCAAAATGCAGATTATAAAAAAGCAACAGAATGTTTATTTATTTCGCACTTAGGCTTTTGGGATAAGGTATCAGCCAACAAAAGAAAAAGTACTTGAAAAATACTAGAACCATCACAAGTAATCACACAGTGAGTAGTGCCCATCTATGATGTTATGATAGCAAATTGCCAAGAAATACCATTACAGTTAAAGGATATTCATTGCCTTGCTTCTATAAAATTATACCAGGACAAGACAACTCCAGCAGATTTTTCCCTAAGAGATCAGTGGTGGAAGATGATGCTCAACTACATCATGATAGACTGGTCAACAGCACCTAGCTGGACTAGTTAAATGGCCAGAATGCTCTTCTGACCTCATTTGATGGATTTTTATTTGGGGTTTCCACAACGGCCGAACAATCTTGTGCAGCTAAAGGTCACATCAGTATCCATCCAACTGTTGTTAGCAATTTTGAGAAAGGATTCTTACTGTGAAATGGGCAGAGATTGAAAAATTCACCTAATAGCTGTCTGCACCCTGATGTGATGATAATAAATTAAAAATGCAGGAAACACCATTTTTCAACACATTTTCCCCTTAGTGAAGTGTTTCCTTTCTTCTTAGGTATAGAGATGGAGTGATATCCCAAATAAGGCATGCTGCATTGTTGCTCTCCCCAAAATGAAATCATCTGGATAATTCCTCAATTTCAATAAAAGTCTGGCACATCATCTTTTTTAAACTTAGCCCAATTTCAACAAAAGAAAGTGAGACTCGTCACCTCAGAAAAAATATACACAGCAATCAGTCTAATTGTTCAGATAAGACCTATGCTGAACCTGATCAGCTCTTGATTCCTTTTTAAGCATGCTCAACCCAAGTCATAATGTCATGTCATGCACAACCCAAAGTCAAAACAAGTTTCAATTAGTTCCAACTCTCCTTTGGAGAGGGATGAAAGGCAATGCTTAATTGTACTTCTCTACAGTAATGTCTAGTTCCCAAAGGCTATCAGAAATTATGCATTTGCTCCACACATCTGTACTGGGAGGATGAATCTTCTGAAAAGCCTCCTAAGTTTGTACATGAAGCCCATAGTAGGGGTGTCTCCATTTCATCAATTCCCAGAGCCCTATTTGACACATTGTCTGATGCTACATAGCCACCAATTTGGTGAAAGTGCAAAAAAAAATTAGATATCCCACCAAAATATAGAATAATTGTTTTGTGAACATCCCACCAAAATATAGAATAATTGTTTTGTGAACATCATCAACCTTTCACTTGCAGCTGATGAGTTTCACATGTGAAAGGGATGAAGCTTCTGGATTATAGTACCCCAAGTAGGTATTCTAAAACGTTAAAATAAAAAGAGTACTAGATAGTAACTATTTGCAATCAATGCAGCCAACTGAATCATAACCAGCTATGAAGGGGGATCAATAAAGGAAACTATTAGCCTGGGCATCTTTGGAATCAGATGAGTTTCAGACAAGGTTCTATTCTGGCCTTCATCTAGCATTGCCCAGATTCCTTCAGGCTTACTCCTTGTCCAACACTTCTATTGGCATGGAATTCAGGTTAAACTCACATTATACTCACAGTGTACAAGATCACAAATGCTGAGTGTTTCATTATTCATGATTACAAATATGTGAGCATTAGTTTGCCTATATTCAGGAGTCACATTTCTTTGCTTGAATTGCATCAGACCAAGAGAATGGAAGTAGGAATCACAGTGCCTTTAAACAACTGATATACCAGTAGGCACAGTAATTTGCTAATTATTTTATACTTTAATGAACCAAGTTTCAGAGCTGATTCCTCCATCATATGTTGGGGAAAGCAGTAACAGTCCCATGACATGACTGTCCAATGAATAAGGCCCTACTTTGGGAAAAGAAAATGCACCAACCTGTGGGTCGACTTCTGGAGGAATATTCACTGGTGTTTCTGGCTCGCCTTCCATCCCCTCAGCAAAATATGAAGCTTGAGATTGTTCATCCCATTCTCCTTCATCCTATTAAGAAAATTCCATGAAAATTGGTCTGGAAAAAAACTAAGAATCAGTTAACATGTGCCACTGCTCAGCATACCATATTGAGCAGTGAGAAATAAAAAGTATGGCACCTTATGCAATGACACATAACTTAGAAAGGGAAATTGTTTAAATTTCCATTCAAACAAACACTTACAGCTGCTGCAGAAGCTGAATCTATTTCATCATGAATATCACTTATTTCATCACCTCCTCCCTCTTCCTTTATCACTACTTCTTCAGTAGACCCTGAAGTACTCGTACTAGGTTCGGGTTGAGTCTGATGGACTTGAGATGGGGAGGGAACCTGAAATATATAAAAGGAAACAGATATTTGTCCTTGAAGTGGAACTGGTCCAGTCTATAAAAGGGGAGATGTAACGAACAAGAAACGTACAGGCTTTTGCTGCTGTGAGTGTGGTCCTATAAACTGCTGCCTACCTCGCAGCATGGGAGGCTGAGATCGTGGCATTTTTGGGGGATGGAACTGTGGTTCATCAAAATCTTGCCAGGGTGGGGCACTACTCTTTCTCTTGTGTGCCAATGCATCCTGAACATCAGACACAGGAATGGTGGTCCCACCAACAGCACCATGTGACCCACTGCTTTTTGACTTATCCCCCTTCAGTCCCTTCACCTCCAAGTTCTCAGCTACTTCAATGAATTTCTCAAGATCCATAGCTGGAACTTCAACTTCTCCACAATACATGAATTCCACAAGAAGCTTGAGCAACTGCATGTCCACACCGTAGAAATGAATGGTGGGTGTCCCTGGGCCATCCCTATTGAGAATTCGCTCGAAGTACCCACTCCCTGCACACAGCACCAGTTTGTGGGCTTTCAAGAACTGCCCATTGCAGGACAGAGTTGCATCCACAAACATCTCCCTATGGCGGAGATTCTCAAAGCTCTGAAATGTTTCTGCATGATGGGAGTTCCACTTCAAATTGTACTTGTTTGACATGGCTTGTCTTCAAGCTCTGCCTAATCAAACCTGCAACTAAAAAAGATTTTATACACACATTCCCAACACACACTCTGACATATAACCACAAGCATGACCCTGCTATGATTAGAACTAATTACAATTACTGTAGGCAGACACTCAGGTTGGCTTAGATTAGGGTTGGAATTTAGGGCTGTACATTAGATGACTACTCCAGAATCAACCACCAAATTTGCTGCATGGTCACCAAAATCTACCCAATTTGGGAACCTCATTAACTTTTCAAGGTACTTTTTGCATGATTGTCATGATGCATTACTTTAATAATCCTGCAATGAACAACTTATTGGTCACTACAATGCACTTCTGAATCAAAAACTTTTGGGAGCGTGCAGTATGGAGAGGGTTGGGCCTCAATGGGAAGGAAGAGAAATGAAAATGAAGAAGATGGTAAAGGATAGAACTAGTTCTACTTTCCTTTTTACTCTGAGTGGAGGAAGAGAGGGGATAAGGAAGAAAAACAAGAAACATGTAGAGATCCACATTCACACCCTTGCCTTATTATTAGCATGTTTGTGGTCAAAATGTCACATGACATTTTCACAACAACCTAAGGCAATGGCACTGGTATGAATGTGTAAATAATTCAGTTCTAATCATCATTTTCTACTCCATTAATCCATCATGTCACAAAGGCAAGAACAACTGAGAGCTCTTAGGCTGCATGAGGCTTTCAAGCATTGAAGACATGGCTTTTGAAAAAACTAAGAATTAAACATGAAAACTGCAATGAGTTGCAACATATAGTCTGCTCACACATCATTCCCTTGGGTCTGTTTCTCCTGGCTAATGAATTAGGGCAAACATAATTTCTGCAGCTGATATGATATAATACAATATAATGAGAACAAAATTAAGGAGATTTCCAAATTTCATATCAAATAAGACATCCTTCTGTATCTTCTATGAACCAAGTGTCTCTGGGAGCTTCACCTTGGATATGTAGCCAAAATCAGACAGCTGAACTTTTTGACCACAGGATGCATTGAATGCGTGATACTCAAGAGTTCAGCAGTCAATCTAATCTTAAACCATGGAACTGACCAGGAGCAAGAGTATGGAAGTAGTAAAGAAGACATAAGTTGGGGCATGCCTATGAACAATAATCAGACTAGTGCATGTGGCATAGGTGCCTTTCCTTTTTGACTAGGTGATACAATGAATTTCCTTGTGTCTAACTGGATATACATAATAGTGTACACAAGGAGGACCCAAGCCCCACTTCCTGGCCTATCCAATGAGGTAACTTCTTGCAGCTCTAGTTGTCATCCCCCCCACCCCCTCTCCTACATACCATCCTCACTCTGGCACTCCCCTTTCCCAATTCCAACTTCCCTATTGGCATTGCTAATAATTAGTGTTAAGCCAAGTTTTAATCAAACTACAAAGAATTTGTTCACATAAAGAAATGCCTTAGCCTCACATTAGCATGAACACTTATGTCCATATACCCAATCACTGTGCTCTTTGTGACCAGGATTCATATGGATATAAGGGAGCTAAAACGAAGAACCAGTTATATCCAGGGCAGCATAGCTATCACTCTTTTCATATTCTTGTCACTTNCACTACAATGCACTTCTGAATCAAAAACTTTTGGGAGCGTGCAGTATGGAGAGGGTTGGGCCTCAATGGGAAGGAAGAGAAATGAAAATGAAGAAGATGGTGAAGGATAGAACTAGTTCTACTTTCCTTTTTACTCTGAGTGGAGGAAGAGAGGGGATAAGGAAGAAAAACAAGAAACATGTAGAGATCCACATTCACACCCTTGCCTTATTATTAGCATGTTTGTGGTCAAAATGTCACATGACATTTTCACAACAACCTAAGGCAATGGCACTGGTATGAATGTGTAAATAATTCAGTTCTAATCATCATTTTCTACTCCATTAATCCATCATGTCACAAAGGCAAGAACAACTGAGAGCTCTTAGGCTGCATGAGGCTTTCAAAAGCATTGAAGACATGGCTTTTGAAAAAACTAAGAATTAAACATGAAAACTGCAATGAGTTGCAACATATAGTCTGTTCACACATCATTCCCTTGGGTCTGTTTCTTCTGGCTAATGAATTAGGGCAAACATAATTTCTGCAGCTGATATGATATAATACAATATAATGAGAACAAAATTAAGGAGATTTCCAAATTTCATATCAAATAAGACATCCTTCTGTATCTTCTATGAACCAGGTGTCTCTGGGAGCTTCACCTTGGATATGTAGCCAAAATCAGACAGCTGAACTTTTTACACAATGAGAGTTGGGGGGACTGGAGTGCCTCAATTGTCCAATCAGATGCAAAATGGTAGAAATATCAAAATCTCAGGAGTTCTCTCAAATAAAGAAGGATTACATGACTGGAAAATGCCTTGAATGTCCTTCCTAGTCATTCCTGCAACTACAAGTTTACTGATGCAATTCAATACCAGTAGTAGACAATATCAGCATGATTAAAACAATGCATTACCACAGGCACCATTTAATAAGGTATTGAAGCATATTAGTAGCATACTGTAGTCCTCAGATCACCCAATAATCATAACTCACTTTTCATTATTGATATTTTTACAGTGGAATAAAACCATAGAAAATTCAACAGTATGAAAGCTACAAGACACCACCAAAGAATTAACAATACTTAAACTATAGGTGATAACACCACTGAAACTGCATCTTGCATAGGAAGATAAGGATCCTTAGTTTCATGTTGATATATTGCAATGACCGAAGTTCCCTCTCAGAAAACAACAAAGGCAATAGGACCCCCAACCTTCCCTTATACCAATATTAGAGTCCATCTACCACAGTCACTAGGAGCAATTCCACAAGTACAAACTCATTATGCAAGTTGTGTCCAGATGACCACAGGATGCATTGAATGCGTGATACTCAAGAGTTCAGCAGTCAATCTAATCTTAAACCATGGAACTGACCAGGATCAAGAGTATGGAAGTAGTAAAGAAGACATAAGTTGGGGCATGCCTATGAACAATAATCAGACTAGTGCATGTGGCATAGGTGCCTTTCCTTTTTCACTAGGTGATACAATGAATTTCCTTGTGTCTAACTGGATATACATAATAGTGTACACAAGGAGGACCCAAGCCCCACTTCCTGGCCTATCCAATGAGGTAACTTCTTGCAGCTCTAGTTGTCATCCCCCCCACCCCCCATCCCCTCTCCTACATACCATCCTCACTCTGGCACTCCCCTTTCCCAATTCCAACTTCCCTATTGGCATTGCTAATAATTAGTGTTAAGCCAAGTTTTAATCAAACTACAAAGAATTTGTTCACATAAAGAAATGCCTTAGCCTCACATTAGCATGAACACTTATGTCCATATACCCAATCACTGTGCTCTTTGTGACCAGGATTCATATGGATATAAGGGAGCTAAAACGAAGAACCAGTTATATCCAGGGCAGCATAGCTATCACTCTTTTCATATTCTTGTCACTTGCCCCTTGCTTGAGTGTAGGAATAAGAAGCCCAATAGGTTTACCCCTCAAACATTGATGTCCTGTGCTGCATGTTCAATTCCTGCTTGCACCCCAGCTTTTTCACTAACTTCAATTGAGTTTCAGGCTATTAAGAAGCCCAACAATAGGGTTTTATTCAAACAAGGGCCTCAAAAATGCCAAGCACAGGCGAGTGGCTTGGATACATGAAGCAAAAGCTCCCAAGGACATAACTAGTCACATTACAGAAATGGCATGTGGCTGACTAGGGCCTATATCCAACACTGCCCATTCATGAGTTATCGCCAGAGCAGCCTAGGCCATCCTTATTTCTTGGGCAACCTATGTCCCACCAAACTCAAGCCCCCTTTGCCTGCCCGCTATATGGCTGGCTTTCTATCACCATCAGTTTAAGTGATATGTCATCATGAGCTATGATAGATGGACTGCAGGAATGTGGATTAGAACGAGTTTGGTCTTACGTTAAAGCTAACGTTAATCATAATTACCAATTCAACCACAAGTCGCCAGTCTGCAAAGCAAGCTAATAGAAACAGCATACAAAACTCAGCTAGGCTTCGGTCTAAATTAAGTCATCTAAGTTACATATTAAGTTTCTAAGCATAATATGTAATCCAAGTCACCAAAGTTACATGCATTTAAACTGTCATCATGCAAAAGAACTGAGATTAATTTCACAGCTTCAGAGCCGCCATGATCTGTGAGGCATCTTCGGGGGGACGACTGCGCTCCGCCTGAGCAGAGCGCAAGCGTCCTGGAATGGCTACGCTTCCACTCGGAGTGAGAGACGTCAACGAGAGGGGCCGCTCGCTTCGCTCCCATCCCGGCAAGCGGGGAAATCGGAGATATCGTTCGACGAAACCCGCATCCCACTCTTAGCGTATTGTGAGGGCGAAGGGCATAGAGGGATTGAAAGTGGGTGAATGCGTTTTCTTCTCACTTAAAACGGAAGAACAGCCTCCAGAAGCAGGTATTCTTGGCAAATTAAAGGGAGGGGGAAAATATTAATAATTAAGTAACAATTAAAATCTAAATTTAAATAAATGTAGAGATAATGTATCAAATAAAGAGAAGGAAGACCCTAAAAGCTGGGAAAGTGATGCGACCCAGTAGGATCGGGATGAAGAAGCATCTCCAGGAACCGCAGCAGCTTTGCGCCTTCCTCCCCTCGTCCAACTCTGCGAGAGATTTTCCAAAGACTCTCGTCGCCCTGGATATAGATGGGGCCAACTCGTCGAAAGCGAAGAGTAAAGCATAGACGAATCCAGTGAGAGACGCCGGTGATATCCCACACAGCACAGGTATATCCCAAAGATATCCCAGAGATATCCCCTTGGGACAAGTGCGATGTCCCAGAGACAAGGAGTAGGGACATCTTAGGGATATCAAAATGTCTGGGCCCAATGACATCCCAAGGATATCCCTTTCTTGAAGAAATAGCACATCCCAGAGATGTCCCAGGGATATCCCATTGGGACAAGTGAGAAGTCTCAGGTAATACTTGTAGGGGCCTTCTTATT